TAATATTTTTAATGTAAGAACATTTTAATTTTTTTCTTTTCTCTAAATTTAAAAAATTAACAGTAAAAAGTACCAGGAGCCCCGGACATTTTTGATATTTTCAATCCACCCTATATATATGAGGATTCTAGCTAATACATACCTCCATTGTGACATTTGACCAAATGCTGTCCATCAGAGCAAATGCAGAGGAAACTAGTGGTATTGTCGCCAATGCCTCCCGTCCGAAATCCACAAAACCCGCTGGTTGCCTCACATGATGCACAAGCAGCATCTTCAGGTGGCTGCTGCCAAGTTAACTGGAACCCTTCCTCGATAGATCTAACAAAATCATAATTTCCTGCAGCTTTTTGGATCACTGGAACAATCACATTTGATTCACAATACCTATTCCAATCGAACTCCGGCATGTTTCTCAAGGGGAACGCAAACGATCTCTTAGCATTGTATTGAAGGCAGGGTATAGAAGCATGAGGAAGGAGGATACAATGTGCAATTATAAAAGAAATGCAACATCTCATTGTTGGTAGTGTAATTGAACAGAGAAGAGTTAACCAATGTGAAGTTATGAGATATTCTTGGACATGACGAGCTTTTCGGATCATAAAAGGCGATGACGAGGGAATTATTCGCGTAATTTACCTTTCTGATGCGAAAGAGATTGTTGGAGAGATTGATAAGTGTTGAACTTTGGTTATGACAAGTGACATTGAAGCCTGGATATCCACAGTATTCTGAGTGTTGTGTTTGGTGCCAGAATGGGTAGCTAATGGGGGTGCCGGTGCCACTTCTGCAGTCGAAAGACGCACAAAAGGCATTGATGGAGGTAGGGAGGAGAATGATTAAGAGAAGGCAAGCTAGAGAAGAAGCCATTGGTCTCAATAATACTGGGCAAGGAAGATGCATGGTGTCTTTGAAGTTTAATTTATTTGGAAAAATTAATTATTCATTAGTTATGATGATTGAGCGACCTTGGTGGTGTATGATCTGTTATTTCCTATATTGTATTTTGATTCTTGTTGGGCTGGAGATAGTCCCAAAATTGAAGTCAACGAAGTAAGTAGGGAAGCCCATATGATAATGGCATGTTGTCCGATGAGATTTGCCGAGAGAAAATTGAGGAAAAATGAAAAATACGAACACATGCATTTCTTTAGGTACATAATTTTTTTTTTTTTTTTTTTTTTTGCAAAACCCCCCTGGAATATAATCCCCCACTGCCCCGCTGGGGGGTGAAATAGCATTTAATTTTGTGTAGTGTTTTTTGGCATTATGGAAGATAATTTTTTTTTTTTGATTAAAGTATTTTAAATCAATTCATATACACTTTAAAATTAATTTTACTTAACTTTTATTGTTGCTCAAACCCTTGATGAAGTAAGTCATAGATATACTTAATTTTAATATTAATAAATTTAAAGGTTAAATACACAATTTTTAAATTATAAAATGTCAAAAATCATGTTTTTATGATTTAAAAAGTTAAATATTCATTTTTAAATCACATAAAAAATCAATTGAGAGTAAATTTTTTAAATTAAAGATAACTCAAAATCACATAAAAAATATATGCACTTTCTTGACATTTTTTTATGTACAATTTTCTCACTTAAGGATTATTTTATTTTTCTGAGGATTGTGTTAATTAAAAGAAGACTAGATTCCTAAACTATCCAACCAGAGGGTGCAAAATTAAGGAAAAGAGGAACCGAAGCAAACAAAAGTACCAAAGCCGAGAATGATGCGTACATTGATTTTGGAGCAGGGTGCATACATTGATTTTGGAGCAGGGAGAAATTAAGCAGCCATTGCCGGTCCTATATAGGGCTCAAAGCTGCCCCTGTGCTGTCCTGTCTCTGTCTCCCACTCTTCCTACTAATTGGAGTAAACCACCGTCCTTCATCACCACCAGCCAACCTCGACCTGTTCCATCGAGTTGACCCAACCACGCCTTTAATTACCATGTTACCCTTGATCATCCCAAGGTCAAACCAATGCATGCAGGGCTTTTTCTGGGGGTTCAAAGTGGAATTCATTGTTATCATGTCAACATAAAAATGTGAGAGGGTACGTGAAAGCAGAATGCATGCAGAGTTGTGTTTGGCGCATTGCATGCCCGTTGTGTATGGCTAACAACAGGTCGTACGCATGTGCTCCAGACCAGGCTGTGAGACTGAGGCAGAACTTCAGAAGTCTCAAGTCTTCATGTCCAGCGTGCAGGTTACTACCTTCCCGGCGCAGGATCCACCGGCGGGAGTTACCTCTTCCTGCACGTGACGTGGCATGTGGATGACCACATGCCCTTTCACTACAGTGGTCATGGACCTCATGGTCCTTTCACTACGGTGGTCAAATGGTCAAGGCTTTCCTTTTTCAGGGACAATTTGCTGGATATATATTTAATTAGGGTAATGATTAGTATTAATATACTTACTAATATTTATTGATTCAATTATTAAATTAGATAAGTTAAATTTTTATATTTTAAATTTAAATTTAAAAATAATATTTTTTTAATAAATATATTATAAAGTATATCAAATCAAATTATACATTAATTATTGTTTATTTAATTAAGATGCTTTTTGATGATAATAACATTGACAATATCACTTAAATTAATTTTAATAATTAAAATTTTAAATTTTTATATAAAAAATTTTAAATTTAAATTTTGAGACAAATAAAAAAAATTTTAAAAATTATTTTTTATTATACATTAATTATTACCTATATACTAAAAATATATATATTAAAGGTAATGCAAGCCTCCCTCAAAAAGAAAACAAAAAAAAAAGAAAAAAAAAAGGGTAATGCAAGCCTTATTTAAAAAAATTTTAAAGTCTATTTTGACAGATCAAAAAGGACAATATCACCAGAGGCAGCCGGTGTTTTTGACTCAGGTTGATGTTACGTTACAATAGGCAACTGAGACCTTCACCGATTAGAGTAAGACTTCATTCGGCCAGTAGAATGAGATCATTCCGACACAAAGAACATTTATAAACAATTTCATTAAGAAAATTTCATAGAGTTTAGCTAGATCATATATATAACACTGACAATTCGAGTTGATATGAGATAAACCTAGCACAGAGGAGCCATATATGCAAGTGAGCTTGAGAGGTAGCAGTGCTGCTGCACACAGGAGGAGGGAAGTGCATAGGTTATAGCTTTCAGTCCTCCAAAAGCTAGCTTTTGGCTTTTGGGATAAGCAAAGCAGGACTGTTAAGCCTTGCTCTGCACGATCAAGTGCTGCAAACACATTTAATCCACTCACATGGCTACCTCTTCCTCCATTCAAAGGATTTGTGCAGAAGAAGGAACCCTCCCTTTTCTCGTAATTTGTCTTGAATACAATTTTAAACGACAAAATATGTCACTTTCTCTTGGGAACAGCTCCGCTTTTAGCTCTCATATAAACAAAAACTCCACATTAAAAAAAAAATTTATATTTAGTCTTTTTTTTGAAACAAGGTTGAAGATAGAGATAGAACACATCACAACCCCCAAACCGATTCTTTATATTTAGTCTTGAACTTTATGTTTTCTCTCAAAATGGCTCTGTAACCAAATTTTAGCAAATTGAACAGCTGAAATACTCAATTGGATATGTAAAGCCAAATTCTATTGTTTTAATTAACACTTTTATTCTGTAGAACTGGACATATAAAAATCTTGTTAAGTAGTTCAAGGGTTTAATTGAGAAAAATGAAAAGATTGACGGCTAAAATTGAAGTTTTCCTTTCTTCGTTTTATCCCAATTCCAAGCCCAAACCCAAAAGCAGAAATGTGAAAACCAAACAGAATTTGACAAACTTTGCATAAAAGGGAAGTTTTCAGAAAAAACAAAAAAACAAAGATGAAATCTACTATTTCAAATGAAGAAAAAAACGCGTTGATCTTTTTGTCTTTTTGTACAAGCACTGAACAAACACATACGTACACCAACCGTTTCAGTAATGCATTTATGAGGAAAAGAGAGATGAATGCATTGTGAGGAAGTCACTAAGCATTACTTGGTGTGCCTTTGGTGTTATGCGTGTTCTTTTGTATGGATTGATAAAAGTTGCAATGGTGTTAGGTTTAGGCTAATATGGAAAGTTTTTCACTATTTTGATGGGAAAGGAAGCTCCCCCTGCGGCCGCTACATTGTCCTATTTGTAGCAAGATCTGCATGGCCTATATATCAAGTTGGGATTCACAGACTTTTGTCCCTATATATATCAAGTTGCGTCTTAATTCTATCCTTTGTTTCGTTTTGGCTGAGAGAAATTTTGAATGCATAATCTTTGCCATTAATCTACCAACTAACTAAGCGGCA